CATCTTGCCGCTGTTCTGCAGCAACAAGGAGTTTTGGAGACAGCAACAGGAGCTTCTTCCCTTGCTTGTATTAACAACCGAAACTTCGTTCAAATTCAACTCCTGTATTCTAGGTTTTAACTCATTCTGAGTTCTTAAACTCGTTAAGAGTTTTTAACTTAGCTTGTAACGCAAGTTAATCACATCAAACCAGACATTCGTTTTCAACAACTCTTATCAGAGTTTAACTGTTCAGCAGTCTAAACACTCGTCCAGAGTTCTAAACCGAAGTCATCATAACACTTCAGTTATTTCCAGTGAAGAAGCAACCTGTCGATCGTCAATAGGAGAGCAAGTTCGACGCGATCCAATCGATAGGAAGCAATCCATCGCACATACCAAAAGAACCCAGTCTAAACAAAGGAGAGAATCAAATCCATCTCTTCTCTTTGTAATCCGAATCCAAATTGTACGATTCATCGATTTTGAGAGAATACAAGTCAAATTTTCTTTCTTTGTCTTTTTACATCAAATTTCCTACCAACAGAAACTAATGAAGGATTTGATTTTGAAAGTTGCATTCGTGAAATCATACATCAATTTGGTGGATTGGTGAATGGGTACGCTTAGATTGCAATAATTTGTGAAATTTGTTATGTTCAATATTTTCATTCGTGGATTTATGCCCTCGATTGAATTACATGTTGTTTCGTTAATTGATGTCTCAATTTCATACACTCATTATCAATTATCCAAATAATTGTATGCAAGGTACTATTGCATATTTGATCCATCTGCTACTAAATATCTTCATTTTTAACATTGGGATAATAAAGTTAATGAAGAATTGGATATACAAGGTATTGCATTGTTCTGTTTATTTCTGCCTTTTGCTATCTCCCAATTCCCAACTGCACCTTTTATGAAGACAGTAATGATCAGGCTGAAGTAAAATTAAAATGCAGGTTAAAGTTAATGAGATACGAGATATTTTCTCCTCCGCAAGCTTTGTCTGGGATATATACATTCCACATGTTTCAGAACAAGGGTACTAGAAAACTCATCTCTCTTTCCTTTGATCTGATTTTTGATGCTACTGTATTGATCCCTTATGTCTTTCAGGTTGTCCAAGGGTTTTGCTTTTGTCTCTTTTACGTCCAAGAGGGATGCTGAAAATGCATGGTTTCTGATCATTTAATAGTCTACACAAAGTTTTGAGTAAAATTAAAAAATATCTTAGTAGCGAGACTTTCCTTTTCAGACCATAAAAAATATCAATGACCGAGTAGTTGCAAAAAGATTTATTGCCGTTGATTGGGCTGTCCATAAGAAAATTTGTGTTGCTACTACAAAATCTACCTCTTTGCAAGATGATAAGTTATACTCCTTTCATCTTTAGCATTTTCCTTTAGCTTTTCATCTCAAAATAATAGTATATGATTGGCTGCTTTATCTCTGTTTATATGTGCTATGTTTCTTGGTTGTAATGGATAACTTTCTAACTACTAGATATTGGTTCAATTAAGGTTCTATTTTCATCATGTAAAATTTTACTAATATAAATATTTTAAGTATTTTTTGTGGTTATGTATCATCTATCATGTTTCATATGCTCAATTTTATATAAATAACTTATTAATTCAAAAAAATACTCTCTCTCTCTCTCTTAGTATATAATATATTTAGTGTGTGCCCGCGCTCATATGCTCAAAAAATACTCTCTCTTAGTATATATATAATTGTTAAAATATATTTAGTATAATATATATATAAATAAAATATTATATATATATATATATATATATACTCATATGCTAAAAAAAATACTCTCTCTTAGTATATAATATATTTAGTGTGTGCCCGCGCTCATATGCTCAAAAAATACTCTCTCTTAGTATATATATAATTGTTAAAATATATTTAGTATAATATATATATAAATAAAATATTATATATATATATATATATATATACTCATATGCTAAAAAAAATACTCTCTCTTAGTATATATATATATATATATATATATATATATATATATATATATATATATATATATATATACATATACATACATACATACATACACACACACATACATACACATACATACACACACACACATACATACACATACATACATACATACATACATACATTGATCAAATTCTTTTGTTTTCACGATTACTGATTTTGTTTTGATGAGAGGTTTGTGTTTGATCAACCTCCGGGTTTATTGGGTGTTTATTCCCAAATATTATTTACAGGGTGCTAATAATATCTATATTGGATGGAACAAGCTTAAGAGCTTGATATATTGTTGCCTCTCTTGCATTTTGTCAAAAAATTTATTTTGATTTGTTGCTTTGAACTCATTATATTTTACTTATATGATGATATTTATGTGTTTGTGCTTATGGATCATCTATTTGTGCCTTATAATGCATTCTATATGTGGTTTGATCAAGTTCTACAAAGAAAGTTTTCTTTATTGATCAAACATTGTTCTTTGACTTAAATCTTGATTTATGATTTCATTTGGTTGATTTATTTTTATTTGAAAACTTTTTGCATGATTCTCATGTTCCTCTTTTGATTTCATAAATCTATTTTTATACACTATGTTTTTATAATTATGTAATGAGACACTTCTTTCATAAATGATATATCTATATGTGTTCTCATTGTCCTTTTGTATTTGAGTAATATTTAGCATATTTTTCATCTATGCTTACTCACATGTTTTGCCTTGGTCTTTATTTCTTATACTCCATATGGCATTTTGATAGGGAGAGCAATTCCTATACTTGTTTTATACTCGTCTATGCTTATTGATAGGGGGAGCTTTCGCTCTCTTCTTTCTTGTTGTTTTTTTCCCTTTTTGATGTTGTTAAAGGGGGGGGAAATATTGTGAGTATACATTTTCATATTTATATGCATGTGAATTATAATTTAAATATTCATTTTCTTTCATGCATATATCCTTTTCGTAAATTGTTTGTCATCATCAAAAAGTGAGAGATTGTTGGCCTTTTTGTTTTGATGATGTTTAGCAAACAATTTACATCTAATATTATTTGTCTAGTGTTTGTGTTTTCACATTTATTCTAGGCAAACAACGAGTTGGAGGATTGATGGAATTACGCATTCACGATCATATCCAATAGAGTTTGGCGGAATTGTGGAGTGAAGCCTATGAAATTCAAATTGAAGATCAAAGTTCTAGCTTCATCCGCAAGTGTACCAAGATAGAACTTCATTGAAGATCACAAGCTTGGGTAAATTTAGTTTTAGGTTTTATATTATGTGTGTTAGTACTTTAAGCTCAATCATATACACACAAACACGCTTTGGTTTCGTATATATATAGTTATATATATACATATATGTTTTGGTTTGATAGTTTTCAAGTTTTACTATGAAACAATTGAATACAATTAAAAATACATTTCTTGTTTCATTTATATGCATATATATGATTTCATCAATATCAATTTATTTAGTTCAATGAAATCATGTTTTAATGCATTATATGTGTATTTTAATAAAATACTATACTTATTATTTATAGACTTCATAACAATAGTTTTCATCTTTCTTCAAGTCTATAAAATCATTTTGTATTGTTTCAAAACATGATTAAGCTAAAATGTTAAAACTCATATGTTCACATTTTCATGTTTTGGACTATTTTATAAAATGATGATAATTTACATTTGGGAGATCCTTTTTGAAAACCAGTTTTTGTAACATGTGTATTATCATGTCTACAATCATTTCCCAAAGTTTATCTTTTTAGAATTTATTTGATATTTTTAAACAGGGTTTTAAATCAGAAAAACTATTTACAAAACCTAAAATTTCATGTCTGTTTGCGGTCGACCGCCACGGTCGATCGCCCTTGAGTCCAGAGACTCAGGATAGTTTTTAGAGGCTCCCCCCCCCCCCCCAGTCCAGAGAGTTTCACGGTCGCCCGCCACGGTCGACCGTCTGTTGTCCAGAGCCAAACCCTGGCCTTTTTGTTGCTCGCGGTCGACCGCGAGTTTTCCACGGTCGATCGCCGATCGCCCAACGGCTGGTTTTGGCACAGAATCAGATTTCTGATTCTTGGGCTTTTTGGTTTTTTCCTTTGGGGTTTTGGCTGAGATTTTGGGAGGCTATATATACCCCCTTGCTCTCATCTTTCATGGACAACTAAGAGAATGTTTTAAAGAATTTTTAAAAGAGTTTAAGTTTGTTTTAAGTTTGTTTAAAGGGTTTGTTTTGTGAAAACAATTTCACAAGAGCTTGAGGAAAATCATCTACATTGTTTGAGCATCCAACTCTTCTACCTTTCCCTCTTGATCTATAGAGAAGTTTTCCTAAACTCTATTTCTAGCTATTTATTGTTTTATTCATAAATTCCCATAAGTTAGATTTTAATTGAGTTTTGTTGATTTGATTTCACTCATTGTTTACACACACCAATTGAGCTTATTGTATTTACATACATAGTATATTAGGGTTGTGAGAGATTGTAACTTTGAGTTGTGCTTAATTAAGTTCCCGCCTTGTATTAGAGAACAAATCATTTGTTGTTATATTGTTAGTGTTGTAAAGTTTTCGGTGAGCTAGAAAACCGAGTGTGAGGAGTGAACATTGATCGGCGAGCGTTGAAAACCGACATTATGAGTGATTGTGTACGTTGATCGGTGAGCGTTGAAAACCGATATTGTGAGTGTAAACATTATTCGGGTGAGCGTAGAAAACCCGGTTGTGATAGTGGATTTCTCCCCGGGAGTGGGGAGCAAAGACGTAGGACGGAAGGTCCAAACTCCGTGATTATTTGCTTGTGTTTGAGTTTGCTTTGGCGTTTCATTTGTGCTTAGTGTTCATTGCATTCTTGTCGTCATTGTCCATTGCCCTATCACATTTGTAGATTGTTTATTTTACCCTTGTGTTATTTATATATCATTGCTTATATATTTGTAATATCTCATTGCTAGGATATATTCATGAGTTCATATTGCCTATCCTAACTCATGTATCTTGTTGTATTTTATACTTGCTAGGATAACTTGTTAATTAGTTTTAATTGGCATAAAATCAGATTAGATTAGCATAAGACCCTAATCACCCCCCCCCCTCTAGGGTCTAACACACGTGGCCACAGTCTGAGTTGAAGTAAACAATGATAATATTTTATTTGAGAGAAATTATTAAGTTGATGATCAATCCCAAAAAAAAGTTTATTTTCTTTTTATTATTATCCAATTTTTATCAATTTAAATAATCATCATATTTAGCCACGGGCATTGCACGTGCATCTCAACTAGTAAATTCAAATATACTTATTTGATTCTTATTCATGATAAATAAACAGACTAATTTGATTAAACCTCTATTATTGTATTATAGAAATGATCAAATTAGAAATAAGTATGTGGCAAACTTACACTACCAAAATACAAAGTCGTCATCATTAATTTATCAAAATAGAGAAGTTAAACAAGGTAATAGATTTACTTTCTCAACCAAATTCTGCTGAATTTAATTGTTCTGCTGGTGTTATTTTCTGTTTTTTTATATTGCTAAATTCATTATCATTATCATGGTTAGATCGTGGATTAACTATTTAAAAACTAGGGAAAATTACTTGGGAGAACTAAATTTAATTGAGTCATGCATCCCCACCCCAACTAGAGTCAACCACTTGGGGACACCTTGACCCAAGTTTTTATGCTTTTACACCCCAACCCCACTGCCCAAGAAAACTAATTCCCAAATTACCCTTCTCCCAATTTAAAACCTATTCCTTTCCTCCTCAATCTGGCCTAAGACCTCCCCCTCCCCCACAACCGCCGACGTCGC